TTCTAATACCTAAAGAAAGGTACCTACAGGAAAGCTGGAGAGGGACTCTTTATCAGGGAGTGTAAGTTATAGGACAAAGGGTAATGCTAAGTTTAGATTTGATGCTATGACAAAATTATTTACACAGATGGCAGTAAGATACTGGAGCAGGCTGCCCAGAGATGTAGTGGCTGCTCCATCCCTGGAAGTGTTCCAAGGCCAGGCTGGATGGGGCTTTGGGCAATCTGGTCTAGTGAGAGATGCCCTTGCCCATGGCAGAGGGTGGAACTGGAGGGTCTTCAAGGTCTGTTCCAAGCTAAACCATTCTATTATTTTTCAGATTCCTCCCTGACACCATTCTGTCACCATTATCCTCCTTTAATTCCTTCAAGCAAGGCTCACCCCAATTTTTAAGAACTAGATCCAAAATATTCTATGCACCCGCAGGGGAAAAAAAAAAAAAGTATTTTATTTGGACTCCTTTCCACACCTAGGTTTTACAAATACATTCATAAATATTTATGAACAAACTGGTAAGAGATCCTAATTTCCAGACACCGAATGTAGTATTTAAGGAATCCACTTACCAAAACCATCTATGTCTAGATTATTATCAACAACAACATCCAGCAATGAATCTCCAGGTTTTCCTTTGGCTGTTAGCTTGTCACCATCGCGGTTGATGAAATGAACAGTTATTTTATCTTCTGAGCTGAAAAAGGGCAAAATAAAACCAAAGAAGCAAATGCATTATTTTCCAGACCTTTAAATTTGATTGAATACTGCTATTACAACACTTTTCAAAGCTGTAACAGGTGCAGGCATTCAGTGGTGACATTAAACACAAAGACATGAAAAACAACACCAAAAACCCCTTCACTTACGTTTTGTCACTAGAAGCCATACAGAATCCTGATGCTTCACCTTTTGCCAAAGGGATTCAAAGCTTTCTTTTAGGCAGACTATCTGTATTTTTGACAAATAAAAGAGCTGACTTTAAGTGCTTTGCACTTCTCTGTGAACTCACACTTTGCATTTACAAAATGATCTAGTAGATAACACTAAAAAGAATTAACGAGTTCAGAATTTTCCCATGTATGGTTAGAACTTAAGGCATTTTATTACCTCTAAAATCTAATTCTGTTCTCCTTTCAACAGCAGAAATAGTCCAAATGTATTTGTCTTTTTTGACTGCAGGTTCTCTTAGAATTTCACCTTGTAAATATTTATTCTAGTGAAGTGCATCAAAATCTCAACACAGACACCAAAGAAAAGTCTCCTGCTTTGCTTTTCAGGCACTTGAGTATACTTAAATTTTTATGCAGAATGTAAGGGAATTATTTTTCTTAAGACTAATGCTTTTGATATGGAAAAACAGGGTTTTTTTGTGTGTGTTCCATATGGTTTCCTTTCACATGCAAATTAAAGGAAGGTCATTAATATAATAGCAAATAAAATACAGTTCATTACAATTGACTATGCTCTTTCTCAGGGTGAGTAACACCAGAAGAATTCCTTAGAGAAACAGGAAAGAAACATGCTGAGAGATATAAATAAAAAACTGAAAGCTAATGCAACATCTATACCTCATCATGAAATCCATGTTTAAGAACAGCTCACTCCATATTATACATGCTCTTTGTAATAACTGCAGGCTTTAGGTGATCTACAACAGAGAACACATACAAGCCTGAAAAACCAAGCCACCTCCTAGGAAACTAACTTATAGGGCTGAATATTAAAAAATTAAAAGTGGCCTTACTGAAACATCAGCAAGTCAACCATCCTTGGAACTGGCTAGGAAAGAAAATGCAGTTCTAGCAATTAAAGTTGAAGCTCATTTTGGAAAACAGACATGCTCACTGCTCTACACTTAATGCACTTGCACCAGCCATAAGCTCAGTTGGCAGCAGTACCTGCTAATCATGTGGTGTCCAACTCCTATCACCCCTCAGCCTACTTCGGAAGGCAACTGCAGGTGATTATTAATCATAAATTCATTCCAAAATAATAATCAATAAGGAAGGATCAACCCTCTGGGCCCACATGATTCAAATGAATCTCACACTATAATGAAATTCAGAAATCTTAGAAGATGCATCTTCACATCACACAATTTGTGTTCTGCAGCCTCCTGTGGTATCAGGGCAGCACTTCCAGCAAGCCATTCTGCAAAGGTTTAAGTTACCACTGTGTTCTTCTTTCCACTCCCCTGCTCAGCATTACTACTTCCCACAGCAAAGAGAGGAAACCAGCATCCTTCTCCCAGATACACAAGTGCAAAATTCACTGCCTTCACCAAAAGTCAACTTCACTGACAGGTTTAGATTGCATCCACAAAAGTATAGATTCCAATTCTGACAGCTAAAGTAAACCACCACCAACATTTTGTTTTGTTTTGTTTTAATTGGTTTTATTTATTTATTTACTTTAGGTTCTTCAAGAAGTCCTTCCAGAGCTCACCGAAACACTCATTTACCAAAACATTTCAGTCAATATGACAAACATGATGCTAGCAGGAGACAGGGATGCAGTTGCATGCATAGACATCTACACCCATGTAAGTGCTAAATATTTGTTCAATATCTAAAGCACATTCTTTCTTCCCCTACAAAAGAAGGCAACCACCAGTAACACAGTCCAAATACCAAGATGTCTGACTACAATCCTGTGGGATGACAGGAACCTTCCTAAGAGGCTCCTTAAGAGATCCTCCCTATGTGGTTTTCACAACATGCATAGGGCTATCTTCCTTGGTGATCACACTTCAGACTGCAGTAACAGCAGCATCAGATAAACAACGGCTTTCCGGTCCCTCCTTTGTTCCCTCCTCCTCCAGCACTCACAGTGCTCTGCAGTGAACTGGACTGGAAACAGAATGGGCTGAAAACCAATCTTGGAAGCCTGCGGCCATATGAACAGCAGAACTGGTACAGTCAGATCTACCTGTTACATGACACATCTGGTTAAAACAAGATGACAGGAATAGCACCCCTCTTTCTGCAGCCACCATCTTACACTGGCTTTAGCCAGCTATGGGGCAGCGCTAGGGCTGGACATGCCCAAGTGAAGCACCACCTTTAAGTCATCAGCTTTTGTTAAAGGACATTACAAAATTAGTCCTTCCTATGAGAATTAATCCACCTGGTTGATCACCGAAACTGAGATTTATCTGTAACAAAGTTTAAGACACTCCAGTAGGATCTGTCTTCCTGGTGCTGGAACAGGCTGCCCAGAGAAGCTGTGGATGCCCCGTCCCTGGAGGCATTCAAGGCCAGGTTGGACGGGGCCCTGAGCAATCTAATCTAGTATTAATTGTAGAGGTTGGTGGCTCTACCCGTGGCAGGGGGCTTGGAGCTTCATGATCCTTGAGGTCCCTTCCAACCTGGGCCATTCTGTGATTCCTGAGATTGCCATCTTAAGTCCCCCTGACACAGACAAAAAATTCAATTTACAGATCACTGCAGCATTATAGTACATGAGCCTGACTGTGAAAATGCTTCCAGGAGCGCAAGTACATCACTAGTCAGAGGGTCAGAATGCACACTGTGCAGATCTTTTCAACTGAGAGATTCCACTGAAAGAAAAATCAGACCTACGTGGAACAGTGCTTAGGGTTTATGAATTTCAAGCAACGTGGCTTTTGTCTACATGGAGGAAAAAAAAAAAAGCAAGAACAAAAACAACAAGAGCAACAAAACCCCCACCACTTCGTGAACTGCACGTGGAAGATTAACATGAAATAGATGCCAGATCTTACGCAAGCATAAATAGCCTCAGGATTCCCGGAAAGAACCAAACATATTTCATGTGATTTACATAAAGCATAAATATCCCAATTCATGCTTAGATTAACTTCTTTTTTTAAGCTATCTGCTAATAAAATTCATTCCTTCATATGATTGCCACAGTACTATCGACATTATTATCAAGCGTCACTAGGGTACCCCAAATTAAGCATACAGCAAATGAACTGAACAGCAGCAGAGAACTGTTAAATGATCCATCTCCTCCCATTTGTAACTAGTGCAGCAACTTTGATTTTTGAAGTCTTGGCAATGCTTTAAAAGACCTTTTTATGTTTTGACCTCAAAATAACTGATAGCCTGGGCAAGTCACTGGAGACTTATTTTAGGGCACTGGGCTGGGTCACTCAGAGAAGAGATCTAAGCAGGCATACAGGAGACCTGGATTTAAAAGTTTCTTGCATTCTGTACTAACAACATTTGCTGGAAGAAAATAAGAGCACCTAGAGGAGAGCTTAAAAGCAAACTACTGAAACAACTCCTGTGATTCTACAGGAGTTGGACTCGATGATTCTTACAGGTCCCTTCCAACTTGGGATTGATTCCAACCACGGTGGTGAGAGCCACCCAGCAGTCCCAGAAACACAGGATCACAGACTGGCCAGGGTTGGAAGGGACCTCAAGGACCATGAATCTCCAACCCCCCTGCCACAATACAGGGCCACCAACCTCCCCATTTGATACCAGCCCAGGCTGCCCCGGGCTCCATCCAATCTGGCCTTGAACACCTCCAGGGCCGAGCCCCGGGCTCCCCCCGACCACCGGGCCCAGCAGGACCACCCGCAACGCAGAGCCCGGCCGAACGCTGGGAAGGAGCGGCGGCAGCGCCTCGGGGCCGACACGGAGCCGACGAGGCCGGGGAACGGCGAGGGCACGGCGGGAAGGTCACGCAGCGCCGCCCGGCGCGACCGCCCCTCGACCCCGGGCGCCTCGCAGCTCTGCGCCGTGCGCGGCCGGCCCCCGAGGAGCCCGCCGAGCCGAGCCGCTTACCTGCGCGCCGTCCGGGCCGAGAGGCTGAGCGGTCGCAACGCTCTCACGGCCGCGGCGCTGCAGCTCGGCCCTGTCCCCACTACCGGCAAAACGGAGAGGAACCAGCGGCGGGACGGAGCGGCGGCGGCCCGGAACAGCAGGCGGGCCGGTGCCGGAGCGGCCATGGCGGCTGGCGGGCAGCGCGAGGCCTCGGCGCCGGCAGTGGGAGGAGTGGGGGCAAAGTCTCGGCGCTTACGCCTTCGGCGCGGGCTGCGGCGACTTTCGTAGCGGTCTACGCCATCCACGTAAGGCACTTCCCGCCCCCTTCTGGCGGCGTCGAGAGGGGACCGCGAGTCGGGAGGAGCGGCAGTACGCAAAGTGCGCAGCGTAGCGCCGCGTAGCTGCAGGCGGTACGGGAGAGGCGTAGGGCGGCTCGTGTCGAGGGCCGGCCTTCCCGCCTCGTTCTCTCCGGGCTCGCCGCAGGCGGTGACAGATCCCAGCTTCCAAATCCGAGCCCGGGTTCTCCCGGCAGGTTCTCCCATGGAGCTCGACCTGAACTGGTCCCCTCCTCGGTTTGCTCTATGAGGGACTTCTTGACTCCCCGGGTCCTCGTTGCTATTTCTTCTGAGAGAAGACGAACTTCTAAGACACAGGCATCAGCAGACGGGCAGCTGTGCCCTCAGAGGATTTGTCAGGAGGAGAGCTCAAATATCAGTATGGAAACGTTGAGATTTCCTTGATATTACAGACCACATGTGGCCTTAAGTTGGCGTTCTGCTGTGCATGTGTTGGGCTGCAAGTTTTGACCAGAACCTAAATTTGGGGGGAGGAGGGGGTAAGAAAGGAGGGGATAGCCTCTTCAACAGAGACTGTGGTACGGGACAAGAGGAAATGGGTTCAGACTCAAAGAGGGGACATTTAGACTGGATATGAGAAAGAAGCACTGTCACAGGTTGCCCAGAGAGGTGGTGGGTGCCCCATCCCTGGAGACACTCCAGCTCAGGCTGGACGGGGCTCTGAGCACCCAATGGAGCTGTAGGTGTCCCTGCTCGTTGCTGGTGGTTGGACTGGATGGCCTTTAAGAGTTCCTTCCAACTCAAATGACTCTATGATTCCATATTTGCATAAATGCAGTCAGTATTCTGGAACATACTGAAAAGCAGCGTCTAAAAAAACAGCACGAGGGCCAGATTCTCATCAGATATGCTGCTATTCCCTCACCCTTGTGAGCTCTGTTTTTCTTTTGAAACATTGGAAGAAGTAGCTGTAAAGAATGTGTTTTATTTCAGCACTGTTCAGACAGCATAGGATCGTACGTGCACATATGTGAGGCAGCATATAGATAACTTCAGCTTTGTGTGGATTTCTAGTTTTGCAAGGTCAAGAGAGTGCATCAGATAATCTAGTCTGACTTTATCCAGAGGCTGCTTTTTGTAAATTAATGGTTTATGCAGGAAATAAATCTGAAAGAAATCCTCTGGACCTTCCAGTCTAAACCTCTGCTGTCACATACAACTCAAGAAATTCAACATAAAAGTATTTATCTGCTTCTTAATTTTTTCTTTTTATTTTTTTGGCTGGTATTAACCCCACTGAAAAAAAAGATCACTTTCACTCCTTGGAAGAGCATAAAGTCTAATTATGTATTAATTTTCAAAAAATTCATTTTTAATGTAATTAATGTAATTTTTAGTTTAGGATAATATATACCAATCTTTTCTTGCCCAGTGCTGCCCATGAGTTTAAATGGTTCTTGACCTTTCTACTGTTCACTCACTGTTTGTTGTATCCCCTCCAGCCCTTTTATTTTAGCCTCTGTTTTATTCATCTGATTTCACAAGACATGAAACTCTTATGTAATTCTCCTGATTCTCCCACCAAGTCATTTCTGCATGTGCTATTTTGAATTCACCCATGTTAAACTTGGGCAGCTGGTTAGATTCTACATTCACTTGTACAGTGTCTCTAATGGAAGTGCATGGCCATCATACATCCTAGGATTCTATCTGGTTATTTCTGTGTACACATCAAACTAGTAGCCCCAAATCATTGTGTGATCATTTTATGAGCCCCATGTCCCTTGTTGCTTCTTATTAAAAAACTCTATTAATAAACAGGATGAGTTCTTGTTTCCTCAACTGAACACAGCAAGCTCTGAGCTTTGTTTCAGTTCCTTCGATGTGGGACCTACATCCATACAGTGCTTTCATGAAGAAGGCCATTTCCATTAATCAGCTTTACCCCCATGTTCAGCATGTGCCCCAGCTCTGTCATTGCCCTCAGATGACCATGGTCCTGAGCACGTCACCCCTTTGTAAATGTTCGATTGGCAGTGTCCAAAGTCAGAACCTTCACTGATTACAGCTGTTGCAGCAAAAGCTAGAAGTGAGGTGCTGTCTCTCTGTCCTTCTGGAAGCCTCTTTGAAGCAGAGGCTTTATGCTGGCCCTTGCCTGTGGCACAGTGCAGCCATGTAGCAGCTGTATTTGCATTGTCTCAAGTCTCCATAGGCCTGTCTAGCCTTGACCCAGACTCACTGACTTGGCATCCTGATTTGGCCTTGGATGTGCCTTGTCACTGTGGCCTTGCTGAGTGAACAACTAACTGCTGCTGACCCTGACCACTATCTTGCAAACCAGTTTTGACCCTGGCTTGTTGCTCTGCTCCCTGGCTCCTTGGTGAGGTGACTGCTTTCCCCTGCCTGGTTGCTCCACTTGGCTCCCAGACACATTCCCTTGCAGAGCTACCATCTCTTGCTGTTCCCTGACATCTCCCACCCCCAAACACAGAGACCTCCTATGTAGTTTCTTTGCATTTTCTATATAATGTATGCTTTTGTGGGAGGCAAGTTTGAGTAAAAGGCAGAGCAATTCGATCAGGATACCTGGATGAAAACCAGCAGATTGAAATAAAAGAGACAAAAATACTTAATGCTGTGTGTATATCAAGCATCCTTCTGAACACAGTGATTGTGTGAAAGCTTTGCTGCTTGTTTCCATGACATGTTCATTGTAATGATAAACATTTTGCTATACAGGCTTCATCTTTCCTATATTTGTATAGGTTCTAGTATACTGGGAAACATATATTTTTTACAATTATGTTCTCCACATCGTTATTTTTAAGCTTCTATTTGCAGTAGGCCAACAAACCACTAGATGGCAAACAATTTCTACTAGATAATGCCCAGGTGTTCATACTATCTTCTGTCCTCAGCTTTATAACTGAGGTTTTGGGGTGTAGTGCAATGGAAGTTCATAGGAATCTGTGGTGAAGATGGTGCAGTCCTTCTCCTGCTTGCCTCACCCTCCCTTTTGCTTCTTGGTATTCATGCAGCCAGATGTGGAGAGTGTTCTTAGAGGTTATCTATGCAAAAAATAAGCTAGCAAAAAACAAAAAGAAGATGAAAGGGCTGTTTCCAGCCAGCTTACAAAACAAGATTTATTCTGAGAGCAGCTGTCTCATCCTGGGTTGTTTTATGCAGCTTAGCAATGGTATCAAATTTCTCCTATCTGGCATAAAATTCCAGGGTTCAAGAGGACAACAACATTCTGCATGTATACAAATGATCATCGGATAACCTCCATGAGTTACTGAAGATGACATCTGTGACTCCTGTTTTTCATCTGCAAGAGACGTGGTATGAAGACACGTTTGTGACGTGGTTGTTTTTATTTTGAGAATTAAAGTGGTTTGTAGGCCCTTCTGTAAGGGCAGGTTATCTGAGTACCATCAAAGTCCGTGTGGGGCTGCCAAAAAGTTCTGCAGATAAAGAGTGATCTGGATTTGAGAACTTTGCCCCTTTGTTGCTGAGCATCTGATAACTGCAGTACAACAGGGCAGGAGAGTGTTTTGTTTTCAGTTGCTTTGTCTTTGCTTGTTTCACTACAGCACCTGACTTACAGTTGGGAACAGATAGAAATGTTTGGGGTTTGTCATTCAAAGAGGTGGAGCTCTGGGAATGAGGCAGAGCTCGCTATTACCCACTCAGATAGGACAGCTGAGGAGGTGGGTCTGTCTCATGACAGGAACGTGAATTAACTGCGGCAGAATTCTGCTCGAGTGCCAGTAATTCTTTGTTCTAAAGCCATAGTTCTATCAGACATACTGCAAAATCTGTGTGAGAATTTTCATCTGAGTAAAGGATATTCAGGGTAGTTGTCTGGAGACTTGGTTCTTCTCAATAGAAAAATGTAGGAGTTTTAAACAGAAACGCTTTTCTCACTCTTTTGAATTTATGGAATTCTTTTACTTCGTGTTATCCTTTCATTTCATAGCATCCCCTCTTTTCTATGACAAGTTGAAGAGTGAGGCACAGCCAGCTCAATGTGAAATTTTCAAAACAAAGCAGAATTTGCCATTGCAGAATTGTGGGCAGGTTTATGGCCAATACAGGATCTCAAAGCATGGTCAAAATACAGCTGTACAAGTTCAGGAAAGGGAAATCCACCACTGGCTGTTAGGTATGAAAGCACTGTGCCTAGCGCCTGCCTGAAATCCATCATGGCAAGTTGTTGGAAGCTGAAAAAGAACATGGGGAAAGTCAATGCTTGCTCCACTCTCACATTCTTTTCCTGGTGCTGATTTTGACAGCTGCTGAAGACAAGATAGTGGGCTTGAGGGGCCTTTGGTCAGTCACTGAGTGGACATTTCTTTGGTCTGACTCCTTCCTAATTTTCTTACATATAGTAGCACTCTGAAGCTGAAGCTGCTGAGTTTGCAGTGGAGGACAGACTGTGAGGATCAAAATCCACCAGACCTCTCCTACTGAATTTCAGCCTTGGCAATATTTCCATTGCTACCAGTGCTGCATTCTAGACTGTAGTTAGACAGTAATTAGAGGCTTCAATTAGACAAGAAAGCAATTTTCTGACTGCACAAAATTTGAGTGGAAAATGAATTAAAGCCTAATACTCACTCTTGTTGCCTGTTGGTGCCCACCTCTCTTCTCTGCATTGTGCTGTTATGAACTATCTGTAATACATTTTACTCTCTTCCCAGAAGTCTTTACAGCTGTTTTGTAAAAACACATGCAACTAAGAGTAAGGCAAATGTCTCCATTAAGTGAGGATATTGATTGCTGTCCTGTCATTTCCAGGTGCAGAGAGTGATATACGAGTATGCATGTTGGTCTTAATTATCTCTGAAGAATACATCCTCGAGGAGCCTGCTAGAAAGGAACGCGCTTACTTCAAAAGACAGCCTGTTAGTTTGTACTGAGAAGCACAAGAAAGCACTTGGTGTGAGGTAGTTAGGGAAAGGGAAGTACAAAGGTAGCATAGGAAGGCTTGCAGGAGGTCTGTGTGCCCGCCAGGGGGCACGGCAAGCTTGGGCTGCAGCTTGCTCGTAGTGCTGAGCAGAGCAGTAATGAAGGGAGGCAAAAGTTTCCATCTTGTTTTTGCATCCAGAAGAAGGAAATTGAGAGATTTCGAATGAATATATAGAATAAAAATGGGAGTGTGGAGTGTATGTAAAAGATTAAAAAAACAAAACCCACAAAGCAGGCATGGACTTACCAAAAGGCACTGCACATTTGGGACTGTGCAGAAGTCTGGTTTGGAATAAGCTTATCAGTTTTGTTTTGTCTCCAGTGGTGTAACTGAATTAGAAAAAATGAACCCTTTCTCTGCCAGCCTAGGAGCATGCAGATCACATCTGGAACCTGAACAGTGGTGTACTCAAAGCTGCCACATTATAATTTCTATAATATTTTAATCAAAGCCCTCTTTCCATCATTTCAAAATCGGATGGTAAGAGAGGAATTGAGAATCAGAAAAGAAGCAAGCAAAAAGTTCTTTTCCCAGGCTTGAAAAGAAAGGAAATAAGAGCACAGAAAGGAAATAAAGAGAACCCTGAACTATTACTAAAGTCTCATGAGTGTATTTTTTTTTTTTTTTTTAATTGCCAGTCTCATGACTTTCTGGGAACTGATTTATTGAAAGCCTTGGTTTGGCAATTCTGTGCTTGGCTAGCTTGGCCTTTGCCCAAGTCCCCTTTTTTTCTTTGGCAGCACTTAAAACAGTTGGGCTGTGGCCCATGCTCCTTGGTAATCCAAGATTGCCGTGTGCAATGCAGAGCCCTTCGGCAGAGGAAATGAGCACGGCGGCCCCCGCCCAGCTGGCTGCATGAGGGGCTCATCCACAGCACTGCCCCCTCGGTGGGCTCAGCGCATCTGGCACTCTGCAACTGGTGCGGAAACTCGTGTTTACTTTAAATCCCGCTGGTTCAGCTGGCAGTAACCCAACCGCTGGAAACTCAGTTGTTTAGAGAGAGCTCATCTGATCTTTCCAATTATTTTGCATTTGCATGAGCTGCTGTACGGCAGACAGACGCAGCGTGCAGCCGTCTCCTGCGGCAGCTCGAGTCCCTCTGGAGCAGCGCCGCAGCAGTGCCGGCCATTTGTGGTCGCTCATCGAGCCCAGCAGGAAAGCAGCAATAACACAATGCTTCCAATGTGCTTCACAGGCTTTGCCAGTCCTCTCTCATTTCAAGGCATAGCACTGCAGGTGTATAGAGAGTATAGAAGGTTTGTTTCTCTTGCGCTGCTTTTAGGGCTTTCAGCCGAGCTCTTGGAACACGTTGGGGTTAGCAGCCCATAGCAGTACCACTGCTGTTACAAGCTGCTGAGGTAGCACTCTGCCCTGTTACCTTTTAACACACTTAGCTTTTGTATGTACAGAATCAAGCACTACTAAGGCTTTGTTTTAAACTGGCACTATGAAGTCAGCATTGTCCACGCCAGGACAGCAGCACAGAGCCTGGCTGACCAGCACAGTACTGAAGCCCTGGGCATCGCCAAGTGGAGGAGTGTCCAGCTTTGGTTTTTATGCCCTGTGATACTTTTAGTAATCCTCTTAAGAGCAAATGTCTCTTAAAGGCTTGCTGTAAATTCCTGGTCTCACTGGCTGTCTGCAGCTGATATTCCAGCACTGGTGCTTGTTGTGCTTATGAGTTAGGACAGAGTTATGTGTAGGCTGGTGTCCTACTAAGATGGAGGAAGCTTGAAGCATTCCCCTATATAATGAGAAAGCAAATGTTTTTCCAGAAATTACTGGCTATTAAGCAGGGGGAGGCATCTCCTGAGCTGAGATTGTTGTAGCCATTGCAGACCTGATTGTCTATAGAACTTCTGCTGTTTGTTAGCTGGGACAGGCAATTATGTAATCTGAATGTTTCCTTTTGCACCTCTTCCCGCCCCTCTGCTCTGTGCTGCTGAGGCCTCCCCTGCAGTACTGCGTGCAGATGGGGAGTCCTCAGTATAGGACAGACATGGGCCTGTTGGAGTGTGTCCCAAGGAGGGCCACAAAAATGAATTGGGCTATGCCAAGGTGAAGAAGTGAACACTGAATGCCCTCCATCTCGGCACAGCTGGCAGCACAACTACTACTTTTACTTTCACTATTTGGATTAAAAGCCCCTGTGTAGGTGATGGGCAAATCTTCATTTTGCTTGGAAAATCATTGTAACAGTACACTCTGTTTCTGTATTTTACTGTATGTGCAATGTCCAGCTGGACATAGTCTATCAGTGTTATCATAAAACTACTAATGAAAAGGGCACTTATGTAAAAAAAAGTTATCTTTTGCCCTGCCACACTAGCAGGAGTAGTGTGACTTGGCTGCTATTGAAAGATGAACTTACCCTAAAAGCTGGATTCTATTTTTCCATATATAGTAGTGGGAGTAGTGTCATCATAAGGAAAGAGAAAATATTAAAAACAGTCTTTGTAAATGCAAAGCACTGTAAAGAATTTGGGGTGGAATTGTGACAGAGCTTTCCATGAGGACTGGTACCTCTCTAAGGCCTTAACAGCTGGAGATTACATTTTAAGTTATAAAACATAATCGCTAAGACGAACTGTAAGCATGAATCTAATCCAACATTTGCATGGGCTGTTGCACTTGGAAACAAGGTTTTGAGCCCTATCAGTTGTACAGTAACACCTGAAATGGGTCTCTGCATGTATGAAATTCCCAACAGCCTACGTTGTCTAGAACTGACCTCCTACAGAAATAGAGGACTTTCTCACGAGTTGTGTAACTTGTATTTCTTACACTCTCCTGAAGGGAACTAAGAACTGACCTTTCAGAAAGAAAGAGTTTGGAGCAATTATGTGCACTTCAGTAGTCTCTTTGAAACTTCGTTTTATAGAATTAAACCTTAGATATTCTTCCTCCTGTTTTTCCTCGAGGCAAGTATAGTTTGATCACTGACGTGCTCTCTCTGTGGGCTAAACCTAGTTTTATTTAGAAGAAAACGCTGAGCTCATTGGAGCATGTAACGTGCCATACTGCATTATGTTCATTTAGCCCAATTGTGCACATCTAACTTGCTGATTCCCCATGCTTCTGAGAAAAAACAGAACAAAAAAACCCTGAACCCCAACATATTTTCAACAGAATTGGGGTGATGGAGAATTCATCCTAGCTTGTTTAAACCTTGTGTTTCAGCCTGTTTTTCAGTACTTTTTAAATGAATTGCATCAATATCCAGAAATAGTAATTGAGGACAGGAGGATTTTGCACTTTCTATGAGACCCTCACTGTGTGACCTCAGAAACATCCAGTCTTGCAGTCTATCTTGTTCTTTGATGAGAAGATAACTCTTGGCTCCAAATAGACTAGTTTTCAACTTCATAGTTTTCCTCCTCTTGTACTACAAGACTAAGAAAACTCACAAACCATGTTTTCTATTCTAAGTTTTACATCTGTGAGCCCTATGCTAGATCTTGACCCAGAATTTCAGAGCAGCCCTCAGAAAATGCATCATATAATAAGTAACAAAACTTTTAAAATTTTTTTTCTAATTTTTATTGTTTAATAAAGAGATCAGACTTCAACAGCTCTGCACATTCCATTCGAGAATGGACCAGTAATGTATTTATGTCAGTGAAAAATGGAGTCACAAAGAAACAAAAAAGTTGATGAATTTTTGGCATTCTTGAAACCTACTTTCTAATTCTCCCAGCCCCACAGCTGTTTTTGTGATCCAAACAGAACTGCATGGTAATGCCAGAGGGGAACGGCAGCAGGTGAGAACCCCACCGTGATACGGAAGGCTTGCCACAGTGTTCTGCAGCACAGAATCCATGGACTGCTGTCTGGTCCCCAGGACCCATCATTCTCTGTGAGGTGACACTCCGCGGTGACATGTCACAGTGGCTGTCCCTTGTGGCAGCGCTGGGAGCAGTGGCCCAGTCCACTTGTGGGACCCGCAGGATGTGGAGCCAGAGAGAGCATTATGTCTGTCTAGAGATATCTTGCTGCGATGGAGTGGCTGAGAGCCCTTCAAGGTGAGGTCCCTCCACCTCCCTGGACACCAGAGATGTCCATGTGTGCCTTCGGTGTCTGTTTAGGACGTGCCAGCAGCTCTGTTGTTGCTCTGATGAGTGCAGCTGCCCATGGTGGCTTCCCCAGTACCCCAGCAAGGGGAAAGCTCTCTCGCCTCTCCCCATCAAGTACACATGTGCCAGCAGAGCTCACCCTGCGCTGTGGGGCTGGAGGCCGGCTGCTCAGCCCCAACTCCAAGCAACACCAGCAACAGCTGCTCTGCTCTTTCCTTCCAGGTCTCTTCGCTTGTGTGAGCTGCGTGCCCAGATGTATGCGGCGCAGGGAGAGAGGCAGGGTGTCAAGCCCTGTCCCTGCCTGCACTGTGACTTTGCTGCTGCAGCGCCTGCAAGACCAGGAGGTGAGCTGAGGACATCCAGCCAGTCCTTGCCCTGGCCCAACGCCACAGTCCCGTAGGTGCCAGGCCCCGGCAGCACATCCCGTAGCGACGGGTGGCAGAGGGCAAAGCGAGCATGACTGATCCTTGTCCCCAGGGTGACCGAGCGCAGGCGTACCGTGAGCTGGAGAGCGCCCTGTGGGAAGACAACAGCCGCCCGCCGTGCGGAGTGGTGAACCGGCTGCTGGGAGAGGTGTCCCAGGACCTGACAGCAGCCCAGCTGAGGGGTCACTCCCGAAGGCAAAGGGAGCAGCCTGCCCACGCTGGTATTGTGCTGGTGGACGGCGGTGGCTTAGCCCTTCCAAGGGCCTCAGGCAGTCTCCTGGACCGCGTGTCACCAGAGATTCTTTTTCAGGGCATTACAGGCAACGGGAGGACGGCTGCCAGCAATGTCCTGGTGGCTCTGGCCCGGATGCACTTCAGCTTGGTGATGGCCGAGCTCCAGAGCTGCATGTCACAATATTGTGGCGGGGAGAGTGGGGATGAAGGTGTGGGGAAAACCTGCCTGCCCACAGAGAGCGAGCCTATCTCCTTCTGGACATGGGGCTATGGGGAAGGGGAAAGGAAAGGTGAAGGGGAAGGGGAAGGGGAAGGTGAAGGGGAAGGGGAAGGGGAAAGGGA